CCTAAACTAATAGCTGTTCAAAACATGGGCCTTTAAAATTTTTGTCCTTCATGCTTATGCATTTTACAGGTTATTACTGCCATTTTACATATTACCATAAAGCCTCAGTGTCTCCATAATGGCTTGAAAACTGTTTCATTAGTATGTTAATATGAAGCCCTTTGCAGATAACGTTTTGTCAATCTTTTTAAAGTACTGTACATTGCATTCTAAAAATTATATACTTATTTTTTGTAGTTCTTGAGTAATTACTGTGACTAGTCAGGGGTTTCCTTGACATTTGAAGATCACTTCCAGACAATCTTTCGTTCCATTAGACTCTTCTTACTGGGCCACAGTCATTTTTTTTAAGGACAAAAAGATACCTTTTAATAAAAATAATAATCCTGATTCATCTGATTTCTGATACGTTAATATCAATCTCTACAGGTAAGCCATGAATACCAGTGTAAAGTTAATTTAGAAAGATTGATGCCCCCTCAGTAACAAACCACGATTTAAAGTGAACCAAAAATGAACCTTGTTCAATGCTGTGTCCTTTTCCGTTACTAGTGTCAGGTGCTTTAGAAGATTGGAAAACTCATGAAAAGTGTAATTCTAGAATTTACTTCAAGCATATGCTAAGGCATATGAAAACACATGCAAACATATGAAATAGTTGAGAATGCGTGTTGAAACCCTTCCTATGCAAGAAGCCCTGTTCGCTGCGATGCAGCGTGCGGGGAGCCGGGGCCGCTGCTCAGCGCTGCCCGTGGCAGCGTCACCGCTGGGCACTGCTGGTTTGCAGACAAGGCACCAGCCCCGGGCAGCCCATTTCCAGAATCAACGTTTTTCAGCAGTGGGGTGCACCAGCTATGGAGTTACATGCAACAGAAGAGGCAGCACGCTCGTGTCTCTTTCTATGTGCACTTGTATTTGTTTCAGTATTTATTGATATTTTTTATCTTCATTGGTTGGTGTAATCAAGAATGAACAGTATCCTCAGTGAGAGTATAAAATTGATCTAAAAGGTGTACTGTATCCAATTTATTTTTCCTGGTGCTCATTTATGGCACATTTTTGTTAGTCCTGCACATTAAGTGGTTTTCCAATGATGATCTGTTGCTACAGCAATTTCCTTTCATGATTTTACTGATATTTTAGAAACCAATGACTTCATCAGTAAATCAAAATATTCCTTTAAATGTGCTCCTCCCTGTAGTTCTCAACACTGTATTTCATCTGCTGTTACTTGTTCATCTACTTACCTTCGCTAGTTTCCTGTACAGGTCCTCTAGACTTTCCATCCTGCTTAATTCCATGACCTACACTTTTTGCCATGGAGTAATAGTAAAGATGAGTAGTAAATCCCTGCTAGATTTCTGGACTGTCTGCTTTATATCAACCACGCTCACTGATGGGCTGGCCTGCTAAGAGTTCCATTAGGGAGCAAGGAGGTGTTTTCCTTCCTGCTCAGGAACTGTGCTGCTGTTTGTTTAATATATGTTTTTAGTTCTCTTTTGGTTTTGATCGTTTTATTTGGTCCTGAAATAGGGCCCACTGTTGGTCTCTCGTTTGCAGAATTAGTGCTGATTCCTTAAAAAGCAGCAGGATTTTTACCGCCCGCTGGTATCCGTGCAAAGCAGCTCAGTCAGTGCACCCCAACTTCACAGGAACGCAAGAGTCTTCCTAGAGCCCTTGCGTGTTTCTCATCGGGGTCTATCACTGTGTTGTATACAAAAAAAGCACTCTATTGCGTATTTCAGCAAAGTGGATAAATAAAGCAAGCTTTAGGGATTTCAGCTATGGATTTTCTTAAATATTCTAAAGCTTCCAACTAGACATGTCATTAGAATTAAACAAACATCAGCATGCACAGATTCACATCACTTCATCTGCAGCAATGGAATTAACTCCAGTTTACTGCAGTTCTGAATACTGCTTATTTTGTGTACCATGAAATAGTAACAAGGCTTCTGTGTTTTACAGGAGAACCCCTTTACGTGATGCTCCTCTGCAGCACCGGGCGCGCGGCGGCGGCGCCGGTGAAGCTGGGCCCTAGCTCGGGTGGTCCAACGTTGGTACGAGCAGGCCCCTTTATAAGTGGTGTCAGTCAGTCAGTGCACCCCAACTTCACAGGAACGCAAGAGTCTTCCTAGAGCCCTTGCGTGTTTCTCATCGGGGTC